GGTTATCATCGTTAGCAGTTTTGGTAGAGCCAAGGAGGATTTAAATGGAAGAGAATCATTTTGCAGGGGGTTGCTATTAATCAAATTTGAAAAATAATCTTGAAAGTGCTATTCTTACTATTGTTTCTCAACAAATTTAAGCAGAATGTAAGTCAAAAACAGACAGACTTTTTTTTAAGTTACAAAACTTATTTAACATTCAAGACCTACAGTAAAGAAGAACCACAGTGTTAAACATTTTGTTTTTGCAAAAATTAAGACTAAACTCTTTAGCTACAGAAAACCCAAATGTGCTTAAAACTAATGCTGCATATAAGTACTTGCAGGCCTATTAGATTTATTTACAGTATAAACCACAGAAATAAAAATACCCGAAATCATTTAGTTACATTTTAACAAAAACCAGTTTAATATTAAGGGAATCTCTACAAATTAAAACCAAAAGTAAATTAACTGATTATAAAACAATTTTATAACAACTATTTTTCTTTTAGCACATCTTTTCCACTGCAACTACCTACATTTTTCCTAGAAAGAACCATTTGCCTGAGTTTCATTGTATAATTTTAAGTAATTTATACAATTTTTAAAGAAGATTTTACTTATTTTTAGAGAGGAGAGAGGAGGAAGAAAGAGAGGAAGAGGAACATCAATGTGTGGCTGCTTCTTGCCTGCCCCCTACTGGGGACCTGGCTCGCAATGCAGGCATCTGCCCTGACTGGGAATCGAACCTGCAACCCTCTGGTTCGCAGGCCAGTGCTCAATCCACTGAGCCACACCAGCCAGGGCAATTTATACAATTTTTATATGATGAGATGGAGTAAGAATTTAGTAATCCTGAAGTAATATTCTCTAATTATATCATTTAAAAAATCTCCACTGTTTATATGGCTAAGACTCCATTCATCAATTAAAATGTTATACCCCCTCCCTCATTCTAGCTCTTTTATTAGGATCATGGCATCCTACCATCACTTTTGCTAATCCTCCAATCCTCTAGATAAAAGGAGCCCTAATTGAAGTAAGTCAGGGGGTTGGGGGAGGCATGTGTCTGTTAAATTTCTAACAGTCTAACAAATAAAGAAGTAAAATGGGCTGAGAGCTACAAATTTGAGGAAGCACACAATTACTCAGAGAATCTTAGAACATTACAAAGACACCTCACTTTACAAGTCTTTATTCCATGACAGAATGCCACATTGACCTATGGACCAATCACCCTTCTCTTTCTTACTTTTGGTGAACGGAGCTGATAAGCTCATTATCACCAGCTCAATTTTTTGGACACTAGAATCTTTAGACACTTCCTAATGTGTCGAAACTGCTTCATTACATTCTAGCTGGCTCTAGGTCTGCCCTGTGAAATCTGGAAGAAAAGTCTGTTTCCTTTTACATAATAAACAAGTTCAAATAATTTATATAGTTTAACATGCATTTGTGAAAGCACTTAATATTCAAACTTAATATTCATTGCCTTTATGATTTTAAACCCATATTATTTCTAGACAGAGCTACCATTCCCTATTCTTTGAGCAGTCTTTATTTTCACTAATTTAAATTTAATAAAAGTAACACATGTTCTTGATCAAAACTCAAACAACACACATAAGAGTTTAAGCTGAAAAGTCTTCCTACCCAGCTCTAAGAGCTCTTGTTTCCTTGCAGAAATTTCCTATGCATAATTAAGTATATACATGCATATTCTTTTTTTGAAAAGCAAATAGAACTATGCTATTGCACATTTTTTCACTTTGCTTTTGCTACTTAATCTATTTGGAGATCTTTCCATATTGGCACTTACAGCTGTTGAATATTACATTACACAGCGATACTATAATTGATTTAAACATTATTACTAACATTTAGATTTATAGTTCTTGCTATTACAAATAATTCTGCAATGTATATTCTTGCAAACATTTTTACATAACGATACAGGTACTTGAAAGATAAATTCCTAGAGATAAGTTTGCTAGACCAATAGGTGTATAAGTGACAAATTTTGATATATTGTCACATTATCCTACAAAGGTGATTCAGGGGTTTAGGGCTTGATCAACAGCAGGTGAGAGTGCCTGTTTCCCATTCTCTCATCATCCCTTGGTATTAAAATTTTTTTTAACTTTCCAATATTTATAATTATGATTGACTAAACAATTTTCATAAGTTTATTAGCACTTATATTTCCTATTTATGCACTTTCTGTGTACAAGCTTTGCCCATTTTTAATTGGGTAGATTAGATGTCTGCCAGCAATATCTGGGGTGTATATAATAATTCCTTGTTTCCATTCAGGCAGGATAGATGAACACTACGTAACACAGGGAACTGGGAGTGTGGTCCTTTCATTCCATTTCAACTCTTAAGTTGGTAAACGTACCCCAATTCTGCCCCAACCGGTTGCTTTGTATTTTGTTTTAAATTGATTCAGTAAATCAGCATCAAGAGTATCTTAATTTGATCCATGGTGAGTGCGCCTTTGTGTACTGTAACCAGAGCTCCTGCCTGCACTATGAGGTATATGTAAGGTAGCTGATGGTACCAGGTGGGAAGGCTACGGGAGTGGAGGTGTCCACGTTAGGGACAAAGGCTATAGGGACTGATACCCTTGGAATTTTTTCCAGCACCAGCAAGAGTTGGAGCTAAGTCAGGATGGGTGGATACTAGACTCTGATAATAACAGGAGAACTGATTGCAAATTCATTAGTCACAGATTTGATACCTGAACTTGCCCACAATTAGGAACGTCCAGAGTATAAGAACCAACACATGAATTCTAAATACCCTTATTCTTTATTCATTAGAATAGGCTAATTCCTCACTCTCACCCACATGTTCTCAAAATGCCCAGGTGCTACTATGGACAAAACAGCAGGAGGGGCAGGGAACCTGAAAGAGTCAGGATTCACCTGAGAGCGCTTGAGTCACCGAAAAGTGGCATTTCAAACTAGAAGAGACTAAGATAACATTAATTGGCAAGTATAGTTTCCAGTTCTGTCTGGGGGCGATTTTCTGAGAAATAAAAGATATTTCACAGGAAAGAACCTACCTCTTTGCACATATGAGTAGCAACATACACGTAAGTAAATTTGATGAGCCTGCCATAGTTTTACTAACAGCACCACCAGTATCGGAAATGAGGAAAACAAAAGAAACGAAGGAGAGAAAGTTGGTTAGTCAATGGATACAGGAAATATCTTTAAACCAGTCTGGGTTCTGCTTCCAGAATCCGTAAGTACACACGTATGTGTACACACACATAAATACATGCTCTACAACTATTTGGTACTCTATTATTTTGTCTGAAGACTAACTTGAGCAGCATACCTGAGAACCTGCTACATATAAGATATGTTTACTAAGTAGAAAAGTCCCAAACTAAGAAAAGTACATCAGCCCATATGCATGCATTTATGTGTGACTTAGTTCTCAGTTTTCTAGCGACAATTTTTAAAAAAGTTTTTTATTCTCCAATCACTTATCTTTTTACATAAATACTGTGTTGCAATTCCTCCTACAGTAAAACTGGGATACTCATACCAATCATATCAAAGTGAATGATCTCTTAAACAGTATGATTTTTATGTCAACCTTCAATGAAGTTTTTCACATGCTTTGGATGTAAATGAAGGGAAGTGTGGAGTTTCACACATGGATCAGTCTGCAGTTCAATCAAGGTAAGATCAATGTATACAAGAGGGCAAGAAGGAAGGATCCGATCAGACAATCAGAAATGACTGCAAATCTCATGACAAAAGGTCAATCTGCTGCCTCACTCCACACATTTCTGGTCCTTAAGTGCTTCTTTTACAAAGCCGGAAAAAGTGCAGATCTGTGTCTGTAGGAAAAGCTTAGTATTTTGTACCTAAAAACAAGTCAGACTGCGAAGGGAGCGCTTTGAAGTGATACATAGATAGCCAGCTGGATGCCCGGATGCTAAAGCCTCAGACTAAAAGGAAAAGACGACGGGCAGACTGACACACAGTCTGAGAAATCCTGAGCCTGGGCACGAGGGAGCCACCCTGCAGTTTTAGTGAAAAAATTTAGTCTGTAGGGCTGGTACCACCTGGTGACCATTCGGGGCCTATGTGTCAAAAGCTGCCTGGATATTTCTGGATGTTTTAGGATGCCATCACAACCCAGGATAAATTGCAGGTCTTTCTGAAAAATATTTTTTAAAAAGGATCTGACCTAAATGCGATGAAACACAAGGGAGCAGTTAAGGTAACAAAGAGGAATATATTTCTCACTTAGTACCTCTAAAGACGTAAAATTCTCCCTTGGAACATACTACCAACTTGAAATGTAAGTACATATATTTATGCGTTTTCTATGTATTGAAATAAAAATTTTAATCACAGCATATAATTGACAATACTTGGTTATGCAAAAGGTTATGTATAAGTACCAAAAGAATTGCTTTGGAAATTCATGAATTTTAGCCCTAGAAATAGATTTTCCCCATGAATTTTATATTAGTGTTATTTGTTGATGCTACTGTACTATAACAACCAGAAGTTTCTACACTGTAATGAGTCACAAACATTTCTCAGCCATGCTTTTACACCACCACTTTCAGCAACTGTGCTAAAACAGAAATTCCAGAATTACTAAATGAAAACAAGAATGTGGATATAAAGATGTCATCAACATACCCGGAGGTAATAATCATGATTATTTTAATTCTTTCTCAATTTAGCCACAAGATTTTTCCAACAACTACAAACGAGAATTCATATTTAACTCTTTCAGAACAAGACAGTCTCAAATGCTTGCATGCATTTTCCTTCTTCACCTTTTTTGGAAAGGAAAGGAGAGAGACACACTGAATGCCCCAATACTGCTTAGTGCCCATTTGAATAGAAAGGTAACCAGCTGGATGCCCCCCACCTCCGAGGAAGGAAAAACAAAGTCACACAAACATCTTGGCAAACCCAGGGGGGCCGCGGCCTCTCCAAAGCCCTGCGAGTCTGAGGAAGACGGGGGCGGCCTGTACTCACACAGACGGCGAGGGCTCCTGCCCCCATCCTCGCAGGAAGTGTCTGCTAGAACTGATGAAGGCCAGATGAAATCATCAAAATGACAGCAAAATACTGAAATTCCATTCAGTGGAGATGCTTTGATTTGAAAACCAGCTTCCAGTTCCGAGGCTAGTTAAGCGGAGAGCAGCTTCTAACATTTTCGGAAGAGTGGTTTTGTTTCTCACTGGGTTAAACCCACAGGGCAGGGAGGGCTGCCTGGAGTTGAAATCTGATCCGCAGCGTCTAGTATTGGCAAGGAGAAGGAGTCATGTGACATGGGTCTTAAGTCGCTGACATCTTTTTCTTAAACCTGACCTGCTGGATGCCACACACACAGGCTCCTTCCGTTCAGAAAACGCTGATCAGCTAGTGGTATTCATTGCCGGAACTAACAGTGCAGAAAGCAAAGACACCAACTTGCTTCCTTGTCGCTACTCGTTTCTATGAAAAATTCACATATTTTCACTCACGTTCCGATCTGCAGGCATATTCCCCACTTTTTTGAGGCAGTTATCACTTCTGCTGCCTGCTAGAAACCACTTAAAGTCTATCAAAATTTTCTTCCCTCCACTCTATTCTATAAGAATTGTCCTGAGTGAAAATGCTCTATTTTATGTAGCTGTTACTTATTTGCTTCTAACTACTTTCAAATAATCTTATTAACATATGCTGGTGATAAACATTAAACAACATGTTTTTAAACATCCATAATACTATGAATGTGATTTACACAGTCTGGAAAATTAGCCTCTTTCAATAACTTCCTACTCCATATGTTTTATCATTACAAAATCAGACAAATTTTATAAATTCAAATATTTGAACTGATAGCTATCCATTTCATTTAAGCCAGAAGGAAACTGTCCTGTTTTTATTTTTTATTGACACTTTTCTGTCAAATCTTTTTACTGGCATACTTAAGACAATGCTGACTAAATACTACATGTGAAATTTCAGTTGACCCAACTTTAAAAGACTTGATTGCCATAAAAACAAAGACATAATAAAATTGTATCTTAAGGGGAGGAGGTGTTAGGAAAAGAGAAAACCAAAATCAGCACCCATTTCAATACCTCCCCTCAAATCTAAATCTAATGGTGGGCGTACTTATAACCCACCAACACCACCCATAGCAGAGCCAAGAGAACAAACTGTGTTGAGCAAGCCACAACTCCAAGGGACAGGGGTACATTTTATTTCTATATGTGTGCACAACACACTGCACAGGCTCTGTTTCCACAAGGCAGAAAAACACAACCTCAGGCTGACTTGGCAATAGGAAGCACTACATCTGTGATGAGCATCCCAACCTCAGGCCCGGGAACCAAGAGAACTGCTGCATTTTCTTTTGAAAACAGTGTTAGTTGTTTTCCCAATAAGTTTGCTAAAGCCATCATTTAACTGTTTAATTTTACAAGTACTCATACATGCACAATATGTACCTATTACCATTCTAAGCATTATGGCTAAGGAGGATTATGGGTGAATGGTGTATCACCTGAGTTATGAAGTACATGTAATAAAACTTTGGACACAATTTGAAAATCTTGTAAAGGTATTGTTTGGCCATTTTGTCTCACTTGCATAGTAATTTTTTTAAGGCCATGCACCTAGGTTGGAATTACTATTGCTTGGCAGTCAGCACACTTTAATACCTATTGTACTTCACTCTGCCAGCTTCACAGTTTATGCTCAACTCCTGTCCCCTTGCGTCATTTTTCAAAAAATTTTAAAAGCACTTGAGTCACTTTTTAAAAATATTTTTATATATACTTATTGATATTAGAGGGGGGGGAGGGAGAGCAAGAGAAAGAGACATCAATTTGTTGTTCCACTTATTTATGCATTCATGGGTTGATTCTTGTATGTGCCCTGACTGGGGATGGAACCTGCAAACTTGGCGTATTGGGATGACTCTCCAACCAGCTGAGCTACAGGGCCAGGGCAGGCACTGGGGTCTTAGTTCTTCAGCTAGCAAATACAATACAGTAAATTGTATAATCAAATGTGAAATGTGTGCCCTTAGCACTTAAAAAATTAGAAGACAGGAAGAAACACGATGAACAGAAGTGGCTGGAGCCTGTACTGCCAAGAAGTCATGGATTAGGGCGGAGAGGGCATTCTAACAGGCCTGTGTGATGGGCACAGGGACAGACATCAGCATGAAGAGCAGGAGGGTTTAAACAGCCAAATAACAAGTCTAGCTGGGTCTCAGACAATCAGGAACTAGTCCAGGTTCTTAAGTAGAATGAACAGTTTAATAAACTAGGAACAAATTAATCTGGAAGTCTGACTAGAATGTGCTAGAATGGGAAGGAGAGTTATTACAGATAAACAGACCCTGTTTACAATAACCCAGCTGAGATGAAGATGTCTTGAATTTAGATAGTGAAAGATAAGTCACATAAATTGTGTAGAGGGGAACTCATAAGACTGATAACTGACTTAATATATAAGGCAAAAGAAATGCCATCTTAGTTCAGATTCTTAAGAGAAGCATAAAGGATGATTCTAAAGTTTGTTTTCCCAGACACTGAAGTAGTGCCTAATAAATAGGGTGTAACTACCGTCTGCCTCGGAAACTTCCGATTTATGCTTATTGACTTACTGTAATTATTAATAGTGTACCTTCGCTCTTAAAAGTGTTCTGGGAAAGTTAAGTCTAAAAGAAGGTAGCAGCAGAGCCTTTTGCCAGAGTTATCAGAGCAACCTCCTCCACCAGCATCCTAAGAACATAGGGTCACCAAAAAGTCCATCTTCACTGGAAAGATCTTTTCATTCACCTCTCCTCCCTGCCAGAATCCAGGCTTCCTTCCTCCACCTCTAGCTCCAATGTGTCACAGGTGCACACAGGTAATCAGGTTCTTGGTGATCGCGGACAAAAAACTGAACCAAATACAGAGTTTATAGCAGAAAGCAAGAGAAAGCAGATTTATTAAGTCACACAGAACATGGGAGCAGGCCAACTCCGAGCAGAGCAGAGCAGAGCAGAGCCTAACAACCCCGACCTCAGGGGTTAGAGGGCTTTTATTTCTGTAGGGTGGGTGTCTCCTGGCTAGTTTTGGCGGGCTTTTATTGAGCATGTACAAGTAGTCATATTATTTTAAAGTTACTGCGCAGGTGGTCTCCCATGATTTCCTTGACTGGCTACTGGGAAGGGGGTCTTACAATGCTAATTTATTATAATGATATTATAATGAAGCAGGGGCCAGGTAGCATCTTCTGTGCAGGTGCATCCCTGATTCACTAGGATTCAGTGCTTTTCCAGAAAGCAGGAACTACCAGTCTTAGAACAGGGTCTCTGCTCTTTACCCATGTTCTCTATCTTAGCCCTGGGGCACTTGGAGTTTCCTCCTTCCTGACTGTCTCCTCCCTCAAATGCACAGTCCTGTGAGCCAGCTTATGAGGTGAGGCCCTGAGAAAGAATGTGTGGACCACCCCAAAACACTCCACCAGGGGATTTTCTGGACCACCACACCCTTAAGTAACAACAGGAAATGTCTGTCTACAAAAGGAGTTTTTTGTCTTCCTTTATCATGTGCTGAATTTTCGTCCACTATCTCTATATCCTGGAAACAACATTGAGACCCCCTCAGAGGTGATTCAGTCTTCAAACTAATTTGCTACGTAAATCCAGAACCACCAGAAACTTGAGTCTTTGTTTCTCTTTTAAACTAATTTTGAATTCTTTTTCATTTGTTTCTAAAATTTATATTTTATCTTTTATTCTTGTCCTATTATAGTCGTCCCCATTTTTCTACATTGCTTTTCCCTGCTCCCTGCCCCTCCCCCAACTGTCAATCCTGTCCTGTTTTCCACATCCACGGGTCACTTACACCTGTTCGTTGATTAGGACCTGCCTCTTCTTTCCCCATTTCCTCCCCTCACCCCTCCTCTCTGGTTGCTATCAGTCTGTTCCTTGTTTCCGTGCCTCTGGTTCTATTTTGATCATTTGTTTGTTTTGTTCATTAGGTTCCTCTTATAGGTGAGATCACATGGTATTTGTCTTTTACCACTTGGCTTAGTTAACTTAGCATAATATTCTCCAGTTCCATCCATGATGTCACAAAAGGTAGGAGTTCCTTCTTTCTTACCTTTTTTTAAAAATACAGATTGATTTTATTTTTTTAATGTCAAGATCCATTATAAAATATTAGAAAAATTAAATCCATTATAAAGTCTCAACAATTAAAAAAATATGACACCAGCACAGAAATATTCAATTAGATCAATGAAATAAAATGAGCATTCTAGAAACAAATGTGTGTGTGTGTGTGTGTGTGTGTATATATATATATATCTAACAATGTAATATATGATTAAATTGATATTTAAAATCAATAGGTAAAATAAGGCTTATTCAACAAATAAGGTGCATGGACCACTATTACTTGAAATAAAACAAATATAGAGCCCTATTTTACACATTATACAAAAAATATTCAGGTGAGTTAAAAATCAATATGTAAAATCTAAGGAGTTTTAGGAGAAAATTCAAAATAGTATTTTTCTTACCCTCAAGTAAAATATTCAAACCCAGAAGCTATAAAGTAAAATATTGATAATATGACTATATTAAACATTTAAGACAATATAGTAATACACAAATAAAGAAGTTAAAGGACAAGTAATAGAATAGGAAAGTAATACAACACATCTAAAAAAGGGTTAATAGTTTTGTTTTGTTTTTTTCAGGCAAAAATTCTATAAACATTTAATCAAAAAATGGATAAAGAATACCAAAAAGTCATTTAAAGCTTTTTTAAAATAATAGAAATAGGAAAGAAATATACAAAAACAGGTTCAGTTTCAACAAATGACAAAGTAACAAAACAACACATCATTGTCACAATCAGATTAATAAGCATTAAAAACAATGGTAACATCAAGTATTGGTGACTGCAAAAGGAACTGGGTATTCATAGACTCTTTCTTCATCTCCTAAAAGCAGTCCCTTTAGCATATTCTGCAATACTGGTTGGGTGGAGATATATTGTTTTACTCTTCTTTTGTCTGGGAAACTCCTTATTTTGCTTTCCAT